GAGAATTAAACAAAAGGCTCCCACGTAGCATTTATTCAGTTGCTTAATGTGCTGTTATAATAAGACACTATCCACGGCGTATATGTACCATAGTTTAAACACATGATGATAGGACAATATTTTATGCTTTCAAAGTCATTTAATATCGGTTGTGCTTAACCAGTTGGTATATCTAATGAGTATTTCATTTTATGAAATACGGGCTCAATACCTTTTTCACCTGCGATTTTCTTTGCAAATTAGTGTTCATGTGATCTGTTCTTCAAATGTGTATTTACCTAATTAACTACGAATATAGTAACCAGCCTTTACGTGATTAAGATGTAGGATGTAACTCCTAATACGAGGCGTTCACTAATATCCACTCAGTTCGATTTTATTCCAAATTAGACTATATTTTGTCAGAAATGATGCAAAGCATTTATTACTTTTGGTCTTTGTTTTTTGTTTAACTTTAAAAACATTAGTATTTTAATCGTTTCACTTGAACAATAGCATTTATGAGAATCAGCAGGACAAAATTCCAACCACTTTCAAATTTCTGCCGTCAAATATATTAATCAGTTGGAAATTAACAAGAATATATTAAAACCTCTGTTATTGGTCAGTGCATTTAACCAAATAAATAAACTATAGTGGATCCGATACCTCAGATATAATGGTTTATGAACGGATACTTTGGTCCTGATGTCTGATTAAATAAATTTTATTTGTTTATAAATCAAGCTAGATTCATCTATACTAAGAGGAAAATCAATGTATATGCAGCTTATTATCAGTACTTTCTTTTGTACTGCACTCAATCGTACATTATATAAAATGCAATATATATGGGAATTTTCATTGAAATATTCATTCGGTAGGTTTTATAGACACAGTAGACCTTCAGATTTTCTGTCTACTTATGTAAGTCAACCAGTAGAAATTCGAAAGTTAGCTATTGTATGTTTACACACTGCTGATAAGTTTTGTTGAGTGTAAAATGATTGTATATTCTGCTATTAAACGAACTAAACTCATTTTCACGTTGCATTGTTTATGGTTAAGATCTAACTAGTTGTAGTCACAATTCGTTTCCTATAATATCACATTAAAATTCGTCAGTGTATAAGACAACCAAATGACTTACTTTGACTAATTTCGGCAAGATACAAACTACACTCAACAATTTTCCTGTCGTATAAAAAACTCTAAGCTTACCATTCAGTGTGTATCTACATCAGTTTTCGTTTCGTTTCAGTCTATTAAGCACCTGAGTAACATGTGTGTATACACATGCACAAGACTTATCAGTTCCATAAAAGTGCTGTATATTACATAATAAAAGATTAATCCAAAGAACCCTATCCATTATTAGTTAACTAGATAAAAATGAACATAAATATGCAATATTATCTCCTGTCATACCAAATGCCGTAGTTCCGAGGCATTTTCCCGACAATATTTTAACGATCATAGTATGACAATTCAATTTTCATGTTCTACTCTTATTTTTGTCCTCAAGATAAAATGCACATATAATCGGCAAATTGTCTTTTAAGTGTCACAAATTTCAACAAAACCTATGATCGTTACACTTCATTAAATCTAAAAATTTCAGTCACGATATGATCTAATGAGCTTATTTTTACCAGGTACAGTTTCAAACTACACTTAATGTAGGGATTGGTCGTACTAAATGACTACCTAGACAATGTAAATAAGTTGGTTAAAACTTGTGTAATATTGATTAGAGGTCGAATGTTTTGACCATCAAGTCATGGTTCCATCTTCGAACTAATTTTCATCAGTGGTATACATTCGGGAGGTTTGGTGTTTAATCTTGTTTGGGTGGTCAGTCTCTCATTTGTTAAGTAGACTTAATCATAACGTTCGAGATGAATTAGCGTTGTTTACCAGATTATTGGCTGACTTAATGTGCCATGTATTGCTTCTGAATTCTAGGTAACAATCAGTCAGTTACCGTCGGCTCTGCATCATCTTTCAATAATGAAGAAAATGAGTCAGGTGATTGTTCAGATGATGTAATGAATCTGATTCGTGATCGTAAAGATGCCCTGGCAGAGGTAACTATTTATTTTTAATGCTTTAATATATTAAAAGGATTATAAACGGGATTGCGAGGCATTCACTACAGTCGTTCGCATGCTAATAAGGTAATTTTTATTTGTGTCCGTAATGTATCCTTCCTCTTACGCTTAAATCTAATATAAATCTGTGCTTTGGCAATTTTAGCATTACATGGCAATATTCTCTGCCTACGGATAAGGGCTGATTTCTTACCTTCAGAGTATGGAACAGTGAATTGATTTATAAATAATGGATATTAATATGAATAATTACGTTAGATGCCAGCCAATATGTCTGAGACTCGTACGGTGCCTACCTGTTAACGGGCCACATGCTGGTTGTGTAATTTAAATATACACTCAACTACGCCTACAATTCCAGTTGGCGTTTGCTCTTTTGTAGAATGTTTTGATTGGTCAGACAATTGTTGATTGGGTGCTTACTTTCATCCTCGTTCGTGTTTTATCGAACCTGGCAATAATGTATATTTTACCTCGATTGGCTGATGATTTTCACATTATTCGTGTTGCTCGTTCTGATGCTGCAATTATTGAATTGTCGCCATCCATTGTCTACTTTATGCATTAATCATTTTATTCTAATGTCAATGTGTAAAACTACTGTTTTCTACAAAAGTAAGTGGCTAGATTCTTTTTTTATTTTTCCTTACATTGCGCAGTAGCTGTCTCTCCCTACGCCTGTATATCGCTAATTAACATGAGGCTATACTTGTTACACTTGGTAAATGAGAAGTTTCTGCACCAATTGCTGGGTCTGTTTTAATGAATTCCTATGAGGTTGAATTCCAGTGCTCAATCACCCTTTGCAAAGACGATTCACTTATATTTTTTAAAACCCGTAAAGAAAGTCTGACAATAATCCGAATTCTTGGCGAATGCAATTCGTATTTTGATTATCAAAAACTGTTGAATCTACCTATGGTGTTTTATGTTAGGCTAACCTAACACCTACCACCCCTCTGATATGTGTGACCTACTATGAACGGATATATATCCTACCAGTATTGTCTGTCATATACTCAACTAAGTTATGTCGAACAATGTTAAGTTCGATATTTGGTGCACACATTTGTTTACATCTGGACAAAGTACGAGTACATTGTTCAACACTCTGTTCTGCATGAGCTTACTGATGTGAGTCATGGACTGTAAACCTAAAGAGTGTGCTTGAAATAATTTGATCAGTGTGGTCAGCATTGGTAACCTGTGGTGGGATTGATGAGCAATCTTGATTTTTAGGTGTAGAGTACTCTATGAAAGTGATCAAACGACCAATAACTTTGTGGATGTTAGGTTTTATATGTGGTCACATTTGGTCAACCGTCTCCCACCTTGTTGCGCTGTGCTGACGTCAGAGTAAAAGTGGGTTAGGAAAGAGGAACCAAGAAATTATGTGGAGCCACTAGCTACTAATCCAAACTATGTAAGGAAATGCAGACTTCGTGATTGGTTGCAGTTACCCATTTACTTTTATTTTCTATCCCCATTTAAAACTTAGTCGTATTATTGCGACACAAGTCCTCTAATTCTTTGGACTTTCACTTTTCTCAATTTCTTCCAATTCTTTGCTTTCCCTCTTGTTGATTTCCTCTAATGATATATGATGAGACAAGATGTGATCTGCAACATCTTTAACCAATGCCTGTCTCAGATCCTATGTTCTTTCTGCTTGTCTACTTGTGTATTTCATATTTTAGGATAACATTAACTTATATTGTATGTGGAAAACTACATGGCTGAATATCTCTTAGTGTTCAGTATTTGAACTCTAATAGTCTTAATCATCCTGTTTGTCGAGTTCCCGTCATTTTTATCATTTGAGTTTCTCGTTGTTCCAGTGACGACATTTATACAATGGCCATATATTTTCTCATCCAACCTGATATACGGCCCTTTGCAAGTTCAATAACTTGTTTGTTTTAACGAATTCAGAATTTTTCCTTTTCTAGTGACCTGTTATAATGGTAAGATTGTTAGATAAATAAATGTTTAAAATTTTTTTTACCAGAAAACTGACTTTACATATGGATTATTTCTCCCATCTGAAAAGGTGTTAATCTTTACTATCTATATTTCAGCAAAGATCAAGATCTCGAAAGCCGTCTTATGCCGATGCTCAAAGAAATCTTACATGAAAGAGGCCAACGATGCATAGAGGATTTGCGTACATTTATTTCAGATCATCAAGTCAATGGATCAAACATAAATGAATTTAAAGAGAAAAATCATATTGACTAGTTTTAAAACGACTTCTTTAAAGCTTGTGTATAATAATTTCTCTTGTTTATTCTCTTACGGCATTTAGCTAAGTTTACATTTCTCTGTATGAAGATCGTTGTTCCCTAGACATTTAAGTTTGTGTAACTGACTGTTTCATTGATTATACTCTTCCAAAAAATACACATGATTTTCCGATAAGCAGTAACAATATAGCTGTTTTTCTTGAAATAACATACACGCATCGAATTTCGTTTTCTTATACGAATAACTTATCTAACAAAATTTATTATTTATTTTATATTTTAACACAAATATTAGTACATAGGGGCACGGAATACATATGCGCCACACAACTCACTTGATTTGTGTGCGGGCTGTTATACTGCCCGGGTGCCCAAACCAAACCAGGTAGTTTTCTTAAGGGGCTACACCCGGAGCCTTCGACCTAAATGTCTGATCCACAAGGCAGTGAAGCATCGTAAGGAGATGCAGTCCCATGGTAGTCGGTGACCAACGATTGGTTCATACGCCATTTGTTCCTTCAGGATCCTGGAGCCCATGTACACCATTGGTTTGGAATCGGGGTTTTCCAACTCCTCTAGGTAGACTCTCCATTTCTACCAACCCGGTTAAAGCGCCGGACGTTTGCTTTTCGTCCTCTCAATTTCGTGAACAACACCCGTGGTGCGAGAAGGCAGTGAGTAGGACTTCCCTGGCGGAGGCGTTATACGCGTGGTCATGTGTGAGCATTTCGAGAGGGCGGGCGGGCCCACCCCACTCGGTCTATTTGGGGGTAATATCTAACAAAAACGTTTGATCGTTGATCTTAATAAAAAAAGACTCAATAATTACACATTAACTTATTAGTGATTATCTTTACATACTGAAGCTATATACATCTAATCATATTTGTTGATTCTTAAGTTGATCTGTGTGCAGGTTGTCCGTCGATGACGAGACATCATCCATAAAAGGAATTGCTGCTGAATCGTACCATTTCTTGTTTTCGGGGTTTCCTATTGGGAAAAAAAGATACCGAAGATGTTCTTTATGAGTTACGCTTAAACTTACTTGTCGGGACTTTCCTTATCCTATCAGATGTATGGCCTACTGTTAATTGTTGCTGCACAATCCACTTAGGTTCGCTATGGTTATCATTGGACATACACGAATAATTTCCTCTCTCTTCTACCTGCAATGTTCAGAAAAAAGTTTAACTTGCATTAATCTTGATTTACAACATTTCGTTTAACAAAATAGTATTGCCGATCTCCGCGAAACAGGTTGCATGTACATTTATCGTGAGTCATCTAGTATGTTTGATTAGTCGCCTCAGCATCAAAGAGAATGTCACGTGATTTAAACTCCATCTTATACATTTGGGTACTTTCGATATCAAATCATACTCATACCTAATCTAAAGTGGTCTTATTCTTTCTACCAATCAATATTAGTCAATTGTATTGAGTAGGAATGTATGTAGATTCTTGTAAAATCAAAGGTCACTTTTAATCCAATATTTCGTGTTGGTGAAGCTTAAGGTCCAAGTGGGAAGTACTTGTTTACTCCAGTGTTATCTATGCAGTCCACTCGGTCGTGTCGCATATTCTGTCTTATATTTGTCCTCGGTACGCTGTTGAGTAACCTTATCATGGTTTTGGATGAATATGCACAGGTTATAAATTTATAGAACGGTCAGTTTTTTCATGGCTTTAGTGAGTAATGGTGGCAAGTAAATCCCGTAGATAAACTTAGTCGGTATTTTGTCTACAGGTCAGTGAGTAGTGAATAACGTCATTTCCCTCACTCTTAGTCGGATTCTGTTAGTCGAGTTTCAGTTTGGCAATCAGTCTGATTGAAATAACATCACATGTACTGTGCTTGGATGCTGGGTTGGATTGATATATTTTCCAGCTGCTTTTGAACTTGTCAGGAAGGTCAACCGATGCTACTTATGTGGTTAACACCTGGGTCATTTGAGTTACATTGTTTACTGCTCTGTGAGCTGTCATTGAATGTCTTAGTCGCTATCCAAATAGCTTGATGGTGATGTGGAAGACTGAAGGTAGTCATTATAGGTTTAAATCTTGAAGCATCAACTCCTCAAAGATTCCACGTAAGGCTTGCTGACGAATGACGAAAGTTACGATGTGTCCGAGTCCCCTTCCGACTGCTCGACAAGATGAATAAGTGAACAATATTGAATGCAGAATTTCCCTAATGAATAACAGGCTCCTGAACTAGTACTTTGTGCAATATAGAAGGGACGTCTTTAATCAACAACAACTGGCAGTGTAGACGAACATTTAACTCATAGGTTGCAAATAACTCTTATATGTCGTCGATTTCCATACAAGTGTGCACAGTTCAGTAATTGACTGTCAGCCACTAGTCTGCTCTAAACCCTACCAAAATGGAGGGTTTGTATTTACTGCTTCGAAAGTGTCAAAGTCCATTTTGAGGTCCAATACACAGCTTGAGCCATGTAATAATACTATAACACAAGTTAGTGTTGAAACGTAGATTTATATATTCAGCTTTGAGTCATACATTGCGTAGTGGGCAGTTGTACTACTAGATTTTTCAAGTCGAATTAATTGGAATGGTATTTTCAGCCGATCAGCAGTAAGAGAAGGATGTGCTCTACGATTGCGTATGGACGACGTCATTTCCGCGATAGGAAAGAGGTTCAATTTATCTCTAGTTTCCGGGAACTGGCGCTCTGAAGATTATTTACCACTTTTAACACTATATTAGATAGGAGTGTTCATTAGGGTTGAAAAATGAGACTGAGTCGTCCGTCATAAATTTTCTTGAAGTAGACAACTACATTAATTGTTTATGTCGAAAATGTTGATAGTGAGTGTAGTTTATTCACAACAACCGTTTGTTCAGTATATATATATATAAAACTTACTTTGTTAATTTTATCGGATTGAAATGTTTTCCTTTGGTTCGTAATCGGAAACTAAAACAAAAAAATGTGTAGGTAGGTTATGTACTTCAAAAACGTCGTCGGTTAATTTCAGTCCATAACCCTATTTTCATGCGACAATTTTATCCAGTATTACCAACTATGTAAGGAAGATGATTTACGGTTCCATATACTGATTCATATATGTGTGCTATTTAATTTTAGTGGTTTGAGGACGTCAAAATGAAAAGTAACAGATCTCAATTATACATGAATCCAGATCTCAAGTGTATATTCATATGAACTGAACAAACATTTCTTTCTATTTTTTAGTGTTCCAGATTTGAATTGATCGTAATTCTTAATTGAATATTATGCATTAAGCTTAAATTGTTTACATCAGAAATAGTTGTCAATGAAACAATCACTGACCCTTATAGTTTGTTGATGAGTTATTACAGACTATACAATTTGTCGGCAATGTCAGTCTCCTGCTGTATACTGAGATCTCACAACCTGAATGTCAATACATAGAGTGCTTCCAGGAATTTTAAACTATCCTATATTTTAATGAATTCCGATAAATTTCTTGAACCTATTGCTAGACAGTCATGTAAATAATCAGTTTGTTTAACAAATTACTTTGATAAAAGATGATTGTTTAAAGTGAAAATTTCTAGTTTATAAAAAGTATAGCTAAATTTTGAAAAGAATCAACTTACTCCGCGGGATGTTTTATTCGATTTCTTTCTCAATGTTCGTAGAATAATTAAAATCACACAAATTGTGATAATTGCTACTAACGCTACGGCTATAATAACTGTAGCCCTTTGTTCTTTCTGTAAATAAGTAATGTATTGAGAAAAAAAAATAACAGTAATAATAATTATTATATTATGAAATTATTTAGAAATAAAATCTTTTAAGAAATTTGGTTTGACAGTATTCAATATTACTCTAAAAGCACTACTATGTAACAGTAAGAATTCAGTAACATTATATTGTTTTAAAATACTTTTCTACATCTTGTAATGTTTTGATGTGATCAAGTGATCTGATACACGGAAACTATGAACTAATCACAATCGGTTAGCACTAATGGATAATAAATATTGTTGAACTTCTCTTGCACTTTATGTCTCAATGAGCTATAAAGAATTAATTGTTATTCATGAAAAATAAAACTTAGATGATTTCCATTTAACAAATTCAAGTACTCAAAAGAAAAATGGTTTATGGTGTTTAGTTCAACCGTAGAACAGATTATAAATAAATAATATATTTGTAATATCCCAATGAGCAGAAAATTAGATTTTCTGACGTTTCGTGATGTTATGGCTGATGTGACTGCAGGTCTTGATAAGCAGCGTTTATTGATCGATTCGGTGAGAGTGACACGGAAAACACGTAAGGGACGACCTAGTGCCCTGAATGGCCCTGCCCCGCTGTCTGTCCTAGCCCAGTTGAGTGGAGAACAAAAGTCACAGCCTCGGAGATATGAATCATTATATTTCAAACATACTTTGTTTATATACCAATCAAGCATACCACATCGTACCATAAAAATAGTAAACAACATTTACGCAATATGTAACGAATGAATTAAATAATAGCCAATAGGGAATGTACATTTAAAGTCCAAGGACACCACTGGACTTAACATGATAATTATTGGTCTATTCTTCCGCATCCACAACACGTGACTTAGTGTAAGTCACTTCAGAGAATAAATAAAAAAACATTGTCTAATAAGACTATTCGAACCACATAGGAGTATTAGTAGTAGTATGAAGCAGTACCGAAGTATCTGGATTGAAACCTTATCAACTAAAAGATTAAAATGTTGATATCTGATTAAACTAGTTCTTATCAGTAGAGTCATTAGTTAGTAAGTTTTAGTTATCAGTATTATTTCTTCATATCAAAGATATGTTAACTGCCAATACCTGCACTTAACTGAATGGATAATGTATACTAAATTCAAGGTTATTCATATTTTGATTATTAAATAATCAGCAACTATAACACAAAAAGAGTCAGTTAATTGATTGTTACATAGTGGGAAAATGAACTGAATGCTTTTAAACACTTTCATCTATGGAATTAAGGCCCCAAAATTCACAATCGGATGAATGATAGTTAATGAGTAATATCATTTTAGTTTCATGAATAAAAGTCCTATGTCAGTATCTTAATTAAGAACGCTTTGGAATTTTATACTCACCATATGCCTGACTAGTATCTGGGTTAATGCTATCAATTAAAGACACATTTACCTACTCTTGTTCCAGTGGTTAAAAATGATAACACTTTGGTCATAAGGTTTCCCATTAGAGTGTAGATTCATATCTAGCATCACATTATAAATGTCTAAATCATCATTATTATGATTTCTGGTATGATTTATGTGAATAAAATACATATGAAATAATAAATATTTAAAACAAATTGCGTAAAATTTACGTGAAGATATATTTTATACAATTGATTCATAATTTGTTGATAAAAATGTATTAGGATTTTCAATAAATCACTAGTAACTAACTTCAAGAGGTATTCCCTGGGGTTCTAGTGAGAAGCAGCGACCAGTGGAGTTGGAGTTCAACCGGGTCTGTTGTGAGATAATAACTCACTGAGGACAATGATAAATGGCGGCTCAATTTCGTTGGTTGGTTGAAGTTAGACATTAACACAGTTGGATGCCGACTCAATGGTCTAGAGGTTAAGCATTTGAACGCGAGACTAATAGGTCCTGGTTCGAGTGGGATCATGGATGCGAACTACTGAGGAGTCCCGCACTGGGGCGAAACGGCCGTCCAGTGCTTCCATGGTGGTCTAGCTTCAATTGACTCATGAATTCAATTATAAAATTACTATAATATCCACAAAACTTCTCTCTAATTATAAAATGTCTAATTGTTTTCTCTTAGATTCTCACATATTGATACTTATAAGTGGATTCACCAAGAATTTCAACAAGAGTGGTTTAAATACATCAAAGGAAACTGAGTGCAAAAGTATATGTTCTCTTATGTTTACCACAGTTATGTTAATAAAAGTTTTATACATCCATATATATTCTTAAAGCATATATACACGTGCTTATGGCGCGATCTTGAAGTTCTAGACTTAATATCATGTTGAACAGTCTGTTGAAGATTCCATAACTATGATAGAGCAACTATCTAATATTGCATGGTCATGAATGGCTCTTCAGCTGATATCAGTACTTGATGAAATTACATTTGTATTAAACAAATATACAAACCGTTTAAGTGATTATCAGCAATAAAACCTATATAATCATATAACTACCTAAACATGTATATGCTAGAATTAAATGTGATATGTCTTTTGTAATTTTATGCTACATCATTCAAAGTATGATGGGTTGAAATTGAAATGGTTTTATTCAGTAATCAACTAAACATGAATTGAATTATCATTGAAACTGAGCGATGGACATCGTATAAACCGTAGCCATATTAATAATAATGATTAATAATAGTAATAATAATAATATTAATAACTTATTAAGACTATGAACAAAGGTCATATTGTCTAACGACACAAAATTTAACAATAGCGAACAGTTAGATAATACAAACATTCACATTATAACCAGGTTATAATTATTATTTATAATTAATGATAATAATAATAAATTCTGAGCATAGGTATACAGGAATAGTATGAATGGCGTACTTTGTTTAGTTAATGAAGTAAAATTCTTGCCGAAATAATATCGATATTTTGAAAATGTGAAAAAAAACAAACATAAATGATTAAATCACATATAAGTTCATGTACATATTTTGTATTTACGACTATCAATGTATATAGTAGAAAAAACTGTTTTAAAAGAGTTAAAGAACAAATAAGTCATTATTATTCATAGACAATTCTCATCACGAGCTGAATTATTGAAAACAAAAGGGAACTGGATAACTATTGAGTCGCAGTTTGGTACTCACCATTAGTACGGGAATTGCTATGATGCCAGAAATCTCACCCCGGACATCTAGCTTTAGCATTGAGAACCATAACTTTACGTAACTGGATGATGATTCAGTGATTTAAAACAATTACCAATGTGGTCTAGACGTTAGGCGATCTCGCGCGAAATCGATTTCGAGTTTGAGTCTTACTTGCGGTATCATGGATGTGCACTTCTGAAGTGTCTCATACTGAGATTAAACGGTTATTGAGTACTTTCATGTTTTCAATAGTGGTCTAACATTAATCGGTTTATGATCTCAATGCAAATCATGGATGTATTTCAACACTATATTGAGCCTTCATAAAATCTCCTTTCCAACAATATAATTTGTATTAACCTACTGGTCCGAAATATCACATTTTCTAGCTTTTCGAGTTTTAGAACTTATTTTAATTATTTATGTTTCATTTTATGTTACAAAGTATCGAAGACGATCAATTTCATAGTATGTTTTAGATTTCAGTCTACATCCATCGTCCATATATCTCCCCATTTATATAAAATTATTCAAATTTAATTATTTTTTCCATGCATATGGACATTTTATGTAAAAGTCACAGATCACTACTAATGTGTTATCTTTAGACTACCGAGCTTCAAATACTATGGTTCAACGAGTTCATGATATTGTGTGATCTTCACACATTATTGGTCATGATATCTGTCACATCTCCGATATGGCTAAACAGCACTAGTCACGGTTTCTTATCCGAATATCGAGAATATTACTTGAAATATTAAATATCCGTTCGATTGTATAAAGGTAACTTGTATCCTGCGAAATCTGAAGGTCCTGGAACTGATGGTTTCCAATGCTAATTAATCCCATACTAGGAAGAAACGGGAATCGAAATCTTTCTGGTTTTTGGATGATTGTTTAACCAAAATCTGCCAATGATATAATTGTAAAGTTATATTAACTTGAATAATCGACATATTCGTGTACATAAGAAGTTTGTTCAACCATTTAGAGTAATTTCATTATTCACATAGATTAATCAATCATTTTACGTACTATATTTTAAACACAAACTATTCTAGGATAAATCTTCCTCATGCTCGACATATTATATAATGAATTCAAATGTTATTTACTTAATAATCCTCATTATTTGGTTCTGTTTAGTTATTTACATGTAATCAACCTAATTTTTTCTAGAGAATTAAGCTAATGTATTCTTCAGTGTTAATGAATCTTTAGAACTTCTAGTATTAGGCTCTTAGGTTTTGTAGAAAACAAAGCAGACGAAATGACATTTTCTGGTTTGTAAAAATATTGTACTTCTTGTTCTGCTATTTGATATAATATATTCTACAGTATTTCTTTATTAAAATCTAGGGAAAATAGTTATTGTGGTAACGTAATTTAACGATTTTGTTGGACTTTTTGTAACTAGATAAGAGAGAGATTCGCTAAATATACAAACTTTTATGTTGGATGATCCACCTAATGATATTTGTAAGAGTAACATTAAACTACAGTCAGAGATGCTAGTAAACGCTCATTACATAAACTACAGTTCAATTTGTATAAAAATGGTTTTAGTTTACTAAACGATCAATTGTTAGTGATCAATATCACATTGTTCAATCCTTAGGGCTGAATTAGGTGGCCATAGATGATCAAACACGATGACATTAGTTACAACTTAAGCGTCAATTAATTGTGCTGGGTACTAATTACTATTTTAGTTACTAAATTCTTATACCTAAAAAGATTTTTCATTTAATGCTTTAATCAATATTTTTAATTAATTATCTTACAATTTCACTGATTATTAGCTTTGAATTAAGAAAAGCCCGTATGATAAATACTAATAAGTTATTTGCCTCTTCATG